CAATGCTGGCAGCGCACACAGCTTGGGGACTAACCCCTTGTTGCAAAGAGGGGGCCACTTGTTTGTCCCGGCCGCCTGGCTAACTTAGCCCTGAAATAACCACACAGAAACTGTATTAATTAAATCACTGCTTGGCCCATTGGTTCTAGTTTCTTATTGGCTAATTATTACACCTTAATTTAACACATTTCTATTAATCTGTGTATCGCCATGTGGCAGTGGCTTACCTGGTAAAATTGAGCACATCTATCTCCGGTGGCGGATCCATGGCATCCCTCCCTCTGCTTTCTTCCTCCCAGAATTCAGTTCTGTCTTCTCCGCCTACCTAATTTCTGCCCTATCAGGCCAAGGCAGTTTCTTTATTCATTAACCAATACAAGATACACATAGACAGAAGAACCTCCTACACCATTCCCTGGTCCTTGCCCCTGCTGATCCCTAATCTTGCTGATGCCATGTTTCTGTTCAGTGCCTTTTTACCCTGGGGCATGGATGCCCATGCCCTGTGGTGCCTGTGAGCACAGTCCCTGTTGCAGAGACTGTCATGGAGTCACGCGTCATCAGAGAAGGTCGCCTGCTGCAGAGCTCAGGTTCAGAGAGAGGAGCCGGAGGTGTATCACAGCATCTGGTGTCTCCGGGCTATTGGGTGCCTGTATGAGAGTACCGCCCTCTGTGCGGAAGCCATCTTGACTGCAGCTTCCTTTTCCTTCCCTTTCAGCCCATGGCCCCAGCTCACTCAGCAGGCACGGGCCATCCAGAGCTGTTAGATGCCAGCAGCAGCTTCCTTTTAACCTGACCGAGCTTCCTCTTGTGAGAATTGTTATTCTTTCCACCATCTTAGCAGTGGGAGATTTAGGCTGAGCCTGTAACTGAGCTCCAAGGCTTTCTCGGAGGCTGCAGCCATCAGCTTATAGCAGGATTATGTGTTGACGGTGTGTTTGTGTCCACTGGGGTGTGAACGTCCTCAGGGAAGAACTGTCCTGCTTGGTCAGAGTTCTTTGGGTCTTTGCAAGAGGAGCATGTATGTTAAAACAGTGTAAGCCTCAACCCTGACATTTGTGTATGTGTGTGAAAAATACACACACACACACACACACACACACACACACACGGTAAGAATCCTGCAACCTTCTGCAAGTGAATTAGGAAGCGTGTGCAGACAGGGCAGATGTCTGAAGGGGAAAAGCCGCAGATATTATTGCTTTCAGGGCAGATGACATATCTTCCTGTGACTAAACATTAAGCCATTTCTTTTTGAAGCTGACTCCCTGAACAAATAATTTGAAATGCAGCTTGATGTTGGAGATTTTTAATTTAAAACGACTGTCACTGGCCCACTAGACTGGTAAATTAAACAAAAAGCTTTGTTTTCAGTCTACTACTGCTTCAGTCAGAATAAATATAGAATCTAAAACTCCTAACTGTGTTGTTGGAATGTTAAGCAAAAGTGCGCCTCCATCTTGTTGTGAGCCTCCAGCTCCAGGAGCCTCCAGCTTGGGGTGAGTTTCCAGCGTGAGGTGAGCCTCCAGCTTGGGGTGCTCGCAGATGGACTAGAAGCAGCTTCTCTAGAGGAAGAATTTAAAATTGTTCTTTTCTAAGGAGGCTGAGTTGTGTTGGAGCTGCTGCCAGTCAAGGTCAGGTGTGAGATCCACACTCTCCAGCTGGAGCTCCCCAGGCTCTGGAAGATGCCCCTTGTCCAGTTTTTCATTTACACAGTAATTAGTGCTGTTTTATAGGGTTATCAAGGTGTAATTAAGACCCCTAATTAAATGACCTTGAAATATAGAGGAGGTCACAGACCCCTTCAAATCTGGACTGGAGTTCAGGGTCGGTTCTGGTCAGTGGGATTTGCAGCTTGCAAAGGGCTGGGCACACATGAATGCAGCTCTCCGTGGCTTTGGAGGTGGAGGGGACCACGTGGCAAAGGCTGGAGAAGCTTGGAAGAAATCAACGGAGAGATTTTGGAGACAGCGGAGCTCAGGTTAACACTTCCCTACATTAAGCCTTTCACTATTAATTATCTCTTTGATTGGCATATAGGGAGAGGTTGGCTGAACCTAGCTTATTGGAACTGTTTGGGGCCAGCCTCTGACCCTAAACTAAACCCCAGTTAGAGTGGAAACTTACAGGGGGTCTTTAACTGGTAGTCAGCAAGCATATGAGACCTGAGTCCTCTGCAGAGCTGCCCTTTGCTAAGAGAGAGGGTTAGAGTGGTCTCCCCTGCACCTAGCCTCTGGCTTCAGGATTCTCTGAGAGATTGCCCCAGGCATGCGTAGCCAACTGCACGACCAGAGAGCAGGGGTCCCAGAGCTGGGCATTCTTGCACTCTTGGTGACAAGCTGTCATGTGACCTTACTTCCTCTAGGGTCACTCTCTGGTTCTGTGCACTGCTGCTTCCAGACTGAGGGGTTTCTCTCCTCGTCATAGATGGACACTGAAGAAGCTTGTGTTCCACAGAGATGGCAGCAGACATTCCCACCTGGGCCACGGTGACCCGACTGTGTGACTCCACCAGCCAGGGTCTGCTCTGGCTTCCCCTACTCTCTCTGTGACGATTTAGTCTGCTTTCCATCTCTTGGAATGCTTTTCACCCACGCTCACTGAATGGACATTGGCTCTCGGTTCCCAGCCGCCATGCTGTGAGTGTCTAGCAGTCACTACCCTGTCGAAATTCAAGGGACAAGGATCGGCACAGCTGACAGTGCATATGGCTGCCATAGAGACACGGATGGAGGGGGCCTGGGATGGCACGCCCCTGCTGGGTGGAGTTGATTAATGGCTCCAGGCCTTCGCCTCACGCATCTTCTCTTCTCATCGCTGACACAGTACCCAACGGAAGTAACTTAAGGGTGGAATGATTAATTTTAGAAACTCTTTTATTATGAAGGTTTTCTTTATGTATGGTAATTGCATGTATGTAATGTATCTTGATCATGTCCACCCCAGCTCCCCCTCCTACTCCTGGGTCCCCCGAAACCCTCCTGTTATCTTACATCCTCTTCTTGTTTTGTATAAAACATGAGTTCCGTTAGTGCTGCCTGCCTGGCCTCTTCTGGGGCCGTGAGCTCTATGTGCTTTTGACAGGGTTTCCAGTACCAGGCAAGAATTTCCTCATGTGGCGTTGGCCACACATCTGACCAGAGGTGCTTTGTCAGCCTGGCCCCTGCTCTCTACATCTTTGAGTTTGAATTGTTAGATTTCATGTGTAAGTGAGATCTTGTGGGGTTTTTTTTCTTTATTGAATATGGCACTTTTTAGCACAGGTTGGCCTTCAGCTCTTGACCCCCTGCTTCAGCATGCCCCATCTGGGGTTTGTAAGTGTGCCACCACGTCCAGCCTCCTGCGGTTGTATTTCATGTCATTCAGAGTCACAGCTTTTGCCCTGTCCTTTGCTGACTGGCATTCTGTCACACGCCTCGGCCACACTCTGGGCTCATGTTCTCTGAAGGCCCCAGGCTGTTGCCGTGCCTCAGGGTCACAGATGCTCCGTGAGGAGTGGTGACCACACTCACTGTTGCAAACGCTAAGGTTGCCTTTCTGTGTGTGAGCCTGGGAGGTCCGCGTCTCTTGTGCCCCTAGCATGTGGGTGTGGCTCATTTGGAGAAGGTTTCATTGTCCCACAGCCTGTCTGTTTCACCATCACTCACAGCCGCCCTCACATCGCTCTCGCCGTGATGTCTTCTCGCTAGTTTCACAGATGTTTCTTTTCTCTGTATGTTATCACAGACAGACAAGCCCCTGGCAGCCAGGTGCTGTAGCCCTGTTGCTGTTTGCCCGGCAGTGTCTGTGACACAGACAAAATAGTATGTATTTACAACAGAGGCAATATGCTGTCCTGTCCCGCAGAACCGATCTAGCAAGATAGTTAAAAAGTAGTTTTTAGATTTATTTTTAATATTTTATAAAAAATTAGGTGTGTGCGTAGGTGTGTGCAGATGCCTGCAGAGGCCACCGGGTCCCCTGAAGTTGGAATTAAAAGCCGTTGTGAGCTGCCTAGTGTAGGTGCTAGGAACTGAACTTGTAATCTTTGCAAGAACAATAATTTGCTCTTAACCACTGAGCCGTCTCTCCAGCAGCCAAATATGATTGCACTTAACCAAAGCAGAGCTATAGCCTGTGGCCCCAGAGTGGCCTGTTTGGAGAATAAAGTTTTATTGGTACACAACCTGTCTGTTTCAGCATCACTCAAAGCTGCTCTCATGTTAATTTGACTGGGCTATGGTTGCTATAGAGACTGAGAAGCTGGGTGTTGTCCTGTATTTACTGCTTAGCCTGCCGCTGGAGATGCACCTGCTCTACCTTGTACCCAAGGGGTGTTTAGAAGTGGAAATACTGTTTTGTTTTTTTCTTAAAATTACCTTTTGTAGCACTGGAGTGAAGTTTCCACTGCTGAGCTGTGTCCCCAGCCCCAGATTTCCAAGCTTAGTAAACACTGACTAGCTCGGATGGTTCTGGTTTCACCGGACGACTTTCTCTGAAAGTTCATGAAATAATTATTCTGTTGTAACTGATGATAATTTATAACCAGATTTGATGAGAGAACGTGCCTAGAGTAGACTGGGTGATTGGTGTCCAATTTTTTAAAAATTAAAGGCCATTAAAATTCATTGCGCATTAATGTATTTATGCTGGGCAGACAGCTAACGAGGCAGAAATAAAAAAACGACGGCGTCATGTGCCGGTGGCTCTGTGTGCACTGTGGACTGGTTACTTTATTTCGCCCGGCGTTACCTTGGCTAGATGTCTTTATAATAATTGTGAATTTTAATTAATTTTCACATTAAAATATCAATAAGGTTGAGCGGTCGTCGTGAGAAGCCTCATGCTTCCTGTGTGTCATTGCTGAGTTCGGCGTGCTAAAGTAATCATTTATTTACTTAGTCTGTTTCTCCGTCGGAGTTTGAGCAGTTAGGCATGGGGGCGTCGATCCACCCTGTTGGGGTAGCCGTTTAAATGCTCAGCGCTCACGTGTGCTCACCCCTCTTTTCCTCCTCTTACAGGCTTGTGGAGGAAAGCAAACTGGTCCCGCTCATTTTCGAAGTGATTCTGGTAAGAATGAAAGTCTCTTTTTTGGAATTCAAGTGAACATTTCAAGTTTTAAAGTTTTGGGGTGAACTGTGCTGTTGCGTCTCTAGCCCAGACGCTGTGCCCACAGAGTGTATGTCCTTGTCTTATTGACCTCATCAGACCTCTGCTCTCAGTCCTGCAGAGGACGTCACACTCGGAAGTGAGAGGAGCTGGAGTCCCTGGCTCTGCCCTTTGAAAGCCGTTTGCCTTTTATTTCTATTGTCTCTTCCTCCCCCCTCCTTCCCTCCCTCTCTTTGACTAGAGACTTTCTGTGTAGCCAGGGTGGCTCCACTCTTGTTCCCCTCCTGCCTCAGCCTACTGAGTGCTGGGTTATAGGTGTGTTCCGCGCTGCCCGGCCGATACCTACTTTCTAGCACAGAACACTGCCTGGTCTGAGGTTGGCTTGCGGAGGAGCATGATTCATGCTGTGATTGTGTGCAGGCCTTCAGCATGAGCGTCACTGGGCTTCAGATGGACCATCATGCGGTTGTCTAACTCAGAACCCCAACAAAGGGCATGCACCTTAAATGAACACTACCCATCTGATCAAATCTTTGCTCTGTGGTTCTTGTGTGAGGAGAATGAGATGGAACCCAACCTTGTCTTTTTTTGCCTGTGAAGAACCCCTTCTCAGACCCTTCTGATCTGAGAATCGGGCTGGAAAGAGCAGGAGTGTCTCCAGCCAAGAGAAGTTCCCCTTTTACCAATGCCCTAGCCTGTAAAGCTCAGAGATGATGTTAGACATGGTGAGGGCATGAGCTCCCCTCTTTCATTTCAGATTCCAGGCAAACTGTGTGACTGTGGGAAAAGCGAAGGCAAATGACTCCCCCCCGCCCGACTTCTGAGCCTCAGGTCCACGCTTTGGTCAGGGACTGGTTGTGTTTTCCTGAAGGTGTCTGTAGTGTTCAAGCAAAAGACCACGTGCTAGGTTGTGTACAAAAAACTGATGGCCACTTCTCAGGGTTCTGAAGGCTGGGTAGTTCCAGGCTAAGGACCGACCTTGCTGTACCTTCTGTGTGCCTTGCTCACAGGGCAGAGGGTGGGAAGGCTTTGTGGCACCCCCTAGTGAGATGGAGGACTGAGGATGCTCCTCTCCTCCCCGCCTCCGGGTACCATCACTGACATCACTTGCGTTTGCACTGGGTGTGAGTGGAGGTGGGGGTAGGCGTGTTTTCAAGCACAGATGGGGACAGATGTCAAGAGCTGTATGTGAGTGCCACAGACAAGGTTGGAGGAATTGCTCAGAATGCTAGAAGTGGGGTCTAGAGGCAGCATCAGAAGGAAGAGGAGAAAGGGAGATTGAGAGTAAAGTGAGGCCAGCTGCTGTCTGAGGTCGGGCTGACGTCCTTGAAGGACAGTGTCTGTTCCTACTCTTTCTGCCTTCAGCCAAGTAATCTAAGCAGACATTTCATCAGTGCCAAGTCTGTAGCTGTCACCCTGTGGACACAGCCTGTCCTCTGGGGATTTCACTCCTCCTCTGTCCCCATTCCACAAAACACACATTCTTACCTTGACGTTCCTGAGCTGAGGCCAACTTTCCAAACGTGTGGCCCTTCACCATTGCTTTCAGCCAAGTGACCTGGGTGTCACGGCCGTGACCAATTTATTTCATTTCATCTCCCTTTACATAAGTGCCCGAGAGCGATGTGTTAATAGAAGTCTCTATCTACCCAAGCTGAAGAGAGCAGTAAAAAGTAAGAGTTCTGAGCTGAACTGTGATAGTTTTCTCTCTGAGTGTCTGATAAAATATGTGTGCAGTTAGGACTGACTGGTCCCAGGAGTCAAGGACATCTGAGTCTGAGGACCTCTGTGACACATGGCATGTGTGGGGCAGCCTCTGTCAGTGGTCGGATCCAAATGACTTCCAGTGAGAAGATGGGGAGAGACCTGCTGCAAGTGACGTTACCCATCCACAAGACTGCAGCAGGCCCTTGATTCACAGTGGGGCAGCCATGGTGACCTCTGGGTGACCTCTCCCACAGCTGTTGTGATTAACATAGTTTAAACCGGCTTAAGGGCTTTGCACCTTGTAACTTTGTTTCTCTTTCCCAGAGTTCCTTGTACTCACAGTGCCCACAATGTAGGGTTTCTTAATGTCCTTCCCTAAGCACTTCCTGGAGGGGTTTTTCTGAGCAAGGGTTCCCTGGCAGTCTGGAGCCAAGGGGACCACAAAGTCACACCACACAACAAACCTCACACAAGAGGTTTTTTGGGGAGAGGCACAGAATGGTGAACGCCTATGAGTAGGAACAGAGACGGCAGGAGCCTGGGAAGAAGGGCAGGCTTTTATAGTCTTAGGAACATGGGCAGTGAGCTAGTAGAAGCGTATTGCATGGCCAGAAGTATTGCTGGGCATGAACCCCGAGTCACGGGGTGGGGACCGGCCAGGGGCAGGGTGATCTCCACGGGCGGTTACCCTACATGCCCCCTCTCTGGTGGGCAGGAGTTGCTGGCTGCTTCTCGGCTGCAGTGGCAGCTGGTGAAGGAAACCGGGTTTTGAATCTGTTGTTCTGTGTGGATTGGCCCTGGTGGACTCGCCTTGAGGAAAGCAGGAAATCCGGATTTGTGTGGAAGAGCAGGGTCTTCAGCGGTAGAGGACTACAGCTGATAACAAATTAAAAGCAATTCTTTCTTTGGGGGAAACCATCCAAGCTACCTCTGACTGCTGCTGCTGGCTGAGGAGGTACAGTCCTCCTTCCTCTGCAGGGCTGGTGTGAATCCTCGAAACAACCTGTCAGATAAGGGAGGGTACAGGAGGGAGTAGGGAGGGAGGGGTGAGTGGGGGAGGGAGGGTACTCTATACCAGGCAGGACCTGTTGAGGCTGGGCTGTGTCTTGGCAGAATCCTGGACCACTAGGGATATGGCTCTGGGCCTGCCAGTGTAACCGCTTATGTTACCAGTATGAGAAGACTCATCTCAATAGTGGACCCCGGACTAGACCCCGAGCAGGGATTCTCCACTGGGTAAGATGGAGACAGCAAGCTGAACACTGGCTTACATGCATGGTTTGTTTCTCCCTTGGGTATCATGTGACCCCTGGCATCCTGGCCCAGCTGCTTTGCACCATGGGCTGCAGTTGGCCCATCCTTGAGGTTTTTGTGTCAAGGTGTTCACTGCACCAGCAGAAAGAGAGGCCAAACAGAGAGCTGAGTGGTGGGTATGGGCCATGCTGAGATACAGGTATGCTTGGAGTGACAGCTACTGGGGCCGCTGGACAGGCCTTTCTCCTGCGTTCGCTTCTCCCTGGTCTTGCAAAGACACCGCACGAACTCACATGGCAGCCTTTGCTTGGGTAGAGCGGTCTATGTGCAGGTCACTTGCCTAAGGTCTGGGACTCTCGGAACAGCTTGAGGCCATTTGCTGGAAAGCAATAACCAGGGTCCCCGTCACTGGAGGATGCACAGTGCTAGCTGTAGGTGTCCGTTAGTGGGGCTGGTGGGGTCAGTCATGGGGACTGGGAAGGCAGCATGGCAGACAGCTGGTCTCAGGTCTGCCCGAAGGTCCCAGGAAAGAGCAACAGAGAAAGCAGGGTGCCTCGGTCTTGAGCTTCAGCTGCAGGCCCCCTGTACACAGAATGCCACACCACAGAAAAGGTGGGTCAGGGAGCTGCTTACCAAAGTTTGCCTCCTGCTGGTGGGTGCTCCTGCCCTGGCAGGAGCCACCCATGGACACCCCTCTACTCACCCGTGTACCCGAGTACATGTGTTGGTACCTAGTAGGGCACTGGGTGATCTTGTTTTTTCACTGTCTGCCTTAGTCCCCAAGGCAGGGTCTCTCGTTGAGTCTGGAGCTGGGCCGGCAGCCACAAGACAGTCTCCCGCCATCTCTACCCCCACAGGTTTCAGGTATGCGTAGCTGCACTTCACTTCTTACGTGGTTCTGAGGCTTTGAACTCGGGTCCTCAGGCTTGGGCAGCCCTGCATGTTTACTGTCAGCACCAAGCAGCCGTGCTGGGCGGTAGCAGAGGACCAGCCTGCGTCACTGCATGAGGCTGCACTGGTTCCCATGGACCCTGCTTTCTGGGCCCACATCTCTAAGGCCCTGGATGTAACTGTAAACACGGCTTTCCAAAGGATGTGAGCCAGCACCTGGCTGGCTTTTGAGCGTAGAGTTGTTGGGAGAACAGGATGGAGGATGTTCTTTTTCTACTTTCTCTCTTTGCAAAGCATTATAAGTTGCATTAAAATGTTTTTAACGTGAATTTGGATGTAGCCGCCTTTGAACATTGCTGTAACTCTAATCTCTCATTTTATTTCTGTGGTTTATGTTGTGGCTACTTCAATAAATCATTTTAATGCCAAGCGATATAGGCAAATTCTATTTTATTGGAAGAAAAATCTTTATTCATGGCAGATTTTCCAATATGTGCCAAAATACTGCTGTCGTGATATTTTATGCTCCTGTTTCAAAACAAACAGTTGCAAAGCAATTTCAGTGGCAAATGCGAACAATAAAACTGTGATTAGCAGAGCACGAGCCGGCGGTCTGGTTGTTCCAACAGTTCTCGGTGCCGCAGGGGCTGTGAGCGTAGTAAATCTCTTGAGTCAGCCCTGTCTTCAGGAAGGCATTTCTTTAGGACCTCTGGTACCTAAAGTCTTTCATCCCTGAGACGTTAAGGTCTCAGCCCCACCATGTTTAAGGAATATTTTGAGTCTTGCACGCTCATCAGACTCTTACTCTGTATCTCTTGGCTTCAGTTGTCCCTGTTAAAGTGGATTGCTTCTTGGGATTTAATAGGCTCCTTAGAACATTAGAAATCCAGATGTTTGTGTGATGTGCTCTTGACAGGAGTCCCCTATGCAGATGTGCAGAAATTTCCCAACACAGGAAGCAAGTTTGTGTGAACATTTCTGAAGTCTTAGGAATAGACCTTTGGAGGGGACCTTCATGGGGATGTCAATAGTACCTGGAGACATAGCAGGTTCATCTCATTCTAAAGCCCATGTCGGTGCAGCTTCTGTAGCTTACAGAATGGGACTGC